GGGAGGGGAGTGGGGGCTGGTGGGTTAGAGCAGGGGTGCTGGGAGCCAGGACTCCTGGGTTCTCTCCCCAGCTCTGGGAGGGAAGTGGGGGCTGGTGGGTTAGAGCAGGGGGGGCTGGGAGCCTGGACTCCTGGTTCTATCCCAGCTCCGGGAGGGAAGTGGGGGCTGGTGGTTAGAGCGGGGGGGCTGGGAGCCCGGACTCCTGGGTTCTCTCCCAGCTGTGGGCGGGAGGGAGGCAGATGTTGTACTAACTGGAGCAGAGGGTGGATATCACTGGCCCCAGCCCAGCTGACTCAGGGCCCTGGAGCTAAAACAGCAGGTAGCAAAACAACCCAGAGACACCCATGGGGTGACAGGGAACGTGGGCAGTGCGGTGTAGTAGTTAGACCAGATAGTCAGGACTCCTGGGTTCTCTCCTCTGGGAGGGGAGTGGGGGCTGGTGGGTTAGAGCAGGGGTGCTGGGAGCCAGGACTCCTGGGTTTTCTCCCAGCTCCACTCTGGTGGCTTAGAGCAGGGTGGGGCTGGGACGCCTGGGTTCCATTCTCCACGCACTGTGTGTTGTACTTAAAGGAGGAACCAGCCATCACCGCAGCCCCCGGCCTCAGGGTAACCCAGCCCCAGCGCTGAGCGAAGTTATTGTGTACCGCACAGGATCTCTTCAGGGGGAATAAGGCAAACGCCACATTTATTAGTAATACACGTATTCATTAACACTGTATTATATGCATATAATATATTACACACACACACACACTCACACACACACACAAACACACTCCGTCTTGTTGTTACCAATTAGTTGCTCCCCTTAACTTCACTGGCCAGGTGAGTTAGATGGGGGGAGGGGGTGGAGCCGGGCTTCTGCCGATCCGGATCGATGCTCCCATGTTGACAAGACGAGACCCGGGGCCCTCTGCAAGACACCTCACTTTTATAGCCGCTTCTCTCTCCTGCAGATCTGTACCAGCTCCAAACTCTGTGTCTGTGTGGTTGAGGCTTGACACAAAGTTTCTACATGAGGCTTTGATACAAAGTCCCATGAAAACAGAGGTCACACGTGGGTAGACCCACCACAAGGTTATAGGAAGAGGCGCAATGTAAAGTCATATGAAAATTATCAGAGATTTATCTACATGTGTGACCTCATGCACGTCCCTCATCGCTCCCTGCCTCAGTTTCCTTCCTGTCACACAGACCAGGCCTGGCAGGCGGTTTGAATGTGTCTGAATGCAAAGTTTGTTTTAAACTCTGAAGATAAGAAATGCCAAGTGAAATCAGTTCTCTCCAATCCCCACCCACGCAGGAATCAACAGAGCTGGGGAAGCCCAGGGCTGGGCTGGCAGGGGCTGCGGGTCGGGAGTGAGGGGCGCCGGCGGAGGAGGGGGCTGCGAGTCGGGAGTGAGGGGCACCGGCAGAGCTGGGGGCTGCGGGTCGGGAGTGAGGGGCACCGGCCGGGCTGGGGGTTGTGGGTCGGGAGTGAGGGGCACCAGCGGAGCAGGGGGAAGCTGGGCTCTCACCCGTCTCTCCCTGGCACAGACCCACCCTGGCACCAACGTGACGGTCGTGGATCTCTTCGACCACAGCCAGAGCCTGAAGCCGCTGTGGGTGCAGGTGGAGGGTTTCCGACAGGCCATTTCGCCCATCATGCAGAACGCGGCCGACGGGGTGCATCTCATCTGCTATTCGCAGGGTACGGCCGGCCCCAGGGGCCCTGGTACCACCCGGGCTGGGAGAGCAGGGCTGCGGGTCGGGAGTGAGGGGCACCGGGGGGGCTGGGGGGACCCAGGGGGCTGCGGGTCGGGAGTGAGGGGCACCGGGGGGGCTGGGGGGATCCAGGGGGCTGCGGGTCGGGAGTGAGGGGCACCGGGCTCGAGGGGTACGGGGGGGAGTGGTTTTGGTGCCTCCCCCTGCTGCTCGCTGTGGGAATTGCACTCGGCCCCCTGAGGCGACCTGGACCCAGGCGATCGGGGGAGGTTTTGTTTGTCTCCTCGCAGTGGTGGTCTGGGGACGTGCCAGGTTCTCCCTCCCCCGCCCCCCACAGCATCAGAGCGACCCCCCCTCTCATTTCTCCCTCTCCCTAGGGGGGCTCATCTGCCGAGCTCTGCTCTCCACCATGCCTGATCACAACGTCGACACCTTCATCTCCCTCTCCGCCCCCCAGATGGGGCAGTACGGGGGTGAGTGCGCACCGGGGGGGGGACTGCAGGGTGGGAGTGAGGGGAACTGGGGGGGCTGGGGGCTGCGGGTCGGGAGTGAGGGGCGCCAGCCAGGCCGGGGGGGCTGCGGGTCGGGAGTGAGGGGCGCCGGTCGGGCCGGGGGGTTCGGTTCGGGAGTGAGGAGCGATTGGGGGGCTGGCGGTTCGGGAGTGAGGAGCATT